TGTTCGGGACCGTTCATACAACCGTACGACCGTTCATATGACTGTATGACCGTTTGTACGACCATACATACCGCCGTTACGCGTTGTACGAGTGAGGCCCCTTACGGCGTATGGCATGTTACACAGTTCGCCATCTCATCTTTCTTCTTCAACATTTTTTTAACGCACTGAAAGGTAAACCTTTTGTGTTTTTTTTGGCATTGTTGCAGTAGTCTGTCATTGGCAGTCTAAGAGATGGTCAACAAATGTCCTACAGGAACGGGGACTCAAATGTCTAATGCCTTCAGCGCTTGTAGGACGTTGATTTCTCCGATCTAAAACTGAGGTCCATGTTCTGATTCCGTTTCCACCCATTCAGATTCCTTCTTTTCTGGTCGAATGACCCCTGTCAGTTCTGCGAGTTGAAGATATTCGGTTGAATCAACCACTTCTGCGGCTTCAAAGGAGGCGTCAAAGGTGGAGGTAGTTGCTTTTGAGGGAGGAAGAGGGAGGGAGGAGGGGAAACTTTTGTTCAACTCTCATGTTCCTTCTAGTAATGCAGCAATTCCTCCTCAGTTCAACACTACAGGTGCTGCAGCAAGAGGGGGTTGTTTTTTTCTCAAGAAAGGGCAGTCCCGGACAAAGTGTCTAAGTTGCTTGCAAGTTGCAATTATAGCATTCTATTTTTCCCGAGGGGACAACAACCTGCACGGGGCCAGTAGATGAAACCGTGCAAGGAGAGCGGCTTGCGTATGGGTCGGTGCTGAAGTCAACAAAGGGTAGGGAGAACGTGGGTGATCTCGTGTCATCTTGGAATTTAAATTTATTAATTCCCTCGGGACCTACTCTAACCGATCCATTTGTGTTGTCTGCGTCTTTATCAGGTGATTCATCCATTCCGACTGTCGGGACGTAGCAGTATGAATCATATGAGCCAAATGCAGATTAGTGACGGGCATATGCGTTGAGGTCGAAGACAGGGCTACGTTTGCAAGAGGGTCTCTGGAAGGAGGAGGATCATAAAGGGAGGGCGTGGAAGAAGATTCATAAGGGACATGAATTGATGACGGTCCGTCGAGGTTTTCGGTGTCGGAACAGTCGTCCGATCGATCTGAGCCAAGATTGGCATTTTTCTGCCACGTCCTCTGTTAGATCGGATATATTTTCATCCCCTTGGTTCATGTACTGTCGTGTATCCAACGAGTCCAAATCGAGTGCCTTAGCAATGATTGCTGGTAATTTGGTGGTCTTAGGGGGAACTTTCTTTTGCAGTTTGACTCTCAGAACTCGATTGCGTAGCTGATCTATGAACCATTCGCGGCCAGTGTTCTCTTCCCATCTGGACTTATCCAACACAATCTGAAACCTATCGACAAAGTAAGCGGGTCTTCAGTATAAACAAGGCAGTGTCTTCACTCACCTCGTCAAATCTGACCAAAAATGCTTTCTTAAACATATCCTTATCTACCCGTCTATAGCGTCTAAACCAGTCGTGAGTTGTGTTCCTCATGAGAACGGTGATGACTCGCGGAAGGTCGGTTGCATCGTAGCCCTGAGCTTCCACGACTTCAAGTCAGGCCTCGGTGAGTGTTATTAGGATAGAAGGGAAATGTGGAGGGAATGCTCACCATTATGTGAGGGGTCTGTACATTGTTGTTTGTCATTACTGCCACCGGCCTTGCTTCTGCTGATCTGTTCCAAGAGACGAGAGGATTCCTTCCATCTGTTCAAGATCGTCCTCTCCCCAGCATGTCTCGTTATTACGAGAACCGACATGTGTCGGCTCCGATACCAACCGCACACCCTATATTGTTTTCCTGTCGGAGCGATGAATCGTGTGGACAAGGCCCTGAAAGACAACAAAATGGAGTGTGCTAAGGATTTTTTAGAAATTGAGTGTGGCAACTCGGACAATACTAAAGTCCCCTTTGTGGTTCCGATTTTAGAGAGAATGGGTCGTTGTCGAGCAGGAGGAAATAAAAGGCGCGCAATTTTTCAAACATCCATTCAATCCAAAAAGTAGCATTGTACCTCGGCGTGGGCTACCGGTCGTCTCTTAGAGTGGACGAGCGAGGGAACGCACGTGGGATATCGTTTTCAGGTCATATCCCGGCTTAGCTTGTTACACAACTCAGAATCCGACGTGGAAGGCCTCGGCCCAGTGCTCGCTCTTTGTGCTCGTCTTCACGACATGTTCGGTATTGGAACCGCTTTTTTCTGATAGCGCTCTATGCGGCGACAATCGTTGCACAGGGTATTAGGCCAATGGGGTGCAACTGCTGTCCACGGGATGACAACCAATTTGTTAAAAGGCAACAACAGCGAGTATAAGGGAAAATGACTATCGATAATGACAAAGCCAGCACCTACGAATCCGGAACACCTTGTTTCTGGTGGAAAATAATACTCTCCGCGGATCTTGGCGAAGGCTTCCTGTACATCCCACTCGCATGCACGTGTCCTTTCCACGTTGTTGGGGAATGGTCGTGATGCAGGTGTGGGAGGTTCGCATCAGGTTGGATCGAAATAATCGGTCCACATGGCATGAGCAATGGCAACGTATGTGAGTCTACCCAATCAACTGCTTAACTCCCAAAAAAAAAAACACCATCAGTTCTATAATGATTAATTCAACTCAGTTATCCAGCAAACCAATAAAAAAGAGGAGGGTTCTACGACAATTCGGTGATTGAAATCATTGTCGCCCATCAAAGCAGCGATGAGCATACATATACATGAGCTTCGTGCACATTCCACTTAACCATCCCGATCAATAGAAATACACATCAGACCCCTCATACTTCAGATGTTCAAAGAACCCACCAGCAATAACAAACAGAAGTGGATTGAGATCGTCTAGCCCCTTTTGACTTCGACGATACTCTGTCATGCGAGATCCGGTTGAATTCCACGGGGGTGGACAAGATCAAGGAAGTCCAAAGTCCCACGGGGGTGGACAAGATCAAGGAAGTCCAAAGTCATTCTGACACTCATCAGTCAGCCATGTGCGTGAGAGAGAGAGAGAGAGAGAGAGAGAGAGAGAGAGAGAGAGAGAGAGAGAGAGAGAGAGAGAGAGAGAGACGACAAAATCTAGAAAGAGAATCAGGGGAGAGAGAGAGGGAGACGACAAAATATAGATAGAAAGAGAATCAGGGGAGAGAGAAGGAGAACTCAAACCACACAGACAACCTCTAAGGGAGGACACTCGGCTATTTGCCATAGACTTGACTTCTTGTGAACCAACAGAAGAAGAATCCAAACAAAATCAAGGCGCCCTGGCCTCTGCTCTCTGATCACGGCCCCTGGCCATGCAACCATTCATATTCACCACTCCCCCCCCCCCTCAGGCACTGACGGCCCCAGTCCACCACGCACCGACCTTTAAACCACCGCGATCGTCTCCCCGCCAACTCAGCAGATGCACCAACTTTACCCAGGTCCCGCAGTTCGTCGTGGCCACCTGGTGCATAGCTCCTCATACTCTGTAGTCCACTCGTCAAGACTTTCCGACTCGCTACTTGCACGTCACTTAGCCATGACTTCCCAGAAGTTGGCGGATGGGTTGAGAGAGATTTCTGAGAGCGCCTGCGGGTTTTATAGTTGTGAGGAGGGGAATAGACGACGGAGAAACGTGGGTCGGAGGTAGGGAGGGCCCGGAGGGGTGAAGAGAAAACTCAGGATGGTCGCCCTCGGAAGGCCATATCGATCCCCGCAGGTTTCTGCGCAGCCAATCAAATTACGTTGCGTGAGAGGTATTCATCCTTACACGTTAGATGGGATCGGTATGGAGTTCCGGTATGCGGATGCAGGCAGGAAGAAGAAGAGCGCGAAAAGTAGCACGGAGCGGGTCCAAGATTCGGACAAGAAGAGTGGGGGTGAAGCACGAAAGAGAGAGGGGATGGAAAACAGTTACAGAAGAAGGGAAGAAGGTGTGACGAGGGGGAGAGGGAAGATGGCATGGGTTTTAGCGGGAGGCGGGGGAACCTTGCATGCACGGCGCTAGTGCAGAAGAGGAAAAGACACCAAACAGTTAGGTTCCATCCTAAAGCTGCTTCAAGAATACAAAATTCAAATGTTATAGAAGCGTGCCGGATTGAGCGTGCAAAAATCCTACATCTATCTAATTCTGTACCGAAAATTTATAGATCTTTCAAGGGCAGGTGCGGGAAGTTCTTCATGCAAGATGTGACATGTCAACGGAAAAAGTGCCCTTAAATCCTGGAATTCCCAACTGCCGAACAAAATTCCTAGCACGCTCACTCAGGCGTGTGTAATTTGTACTCAGATGCATGAATTCCTGAAAGGAAGTCGCAACAAAAGAAAACATCCTCTTGGACGGCAGAAGGCCTGACTGTCTGGCGATTTCTCGTTCCAGGAACATAGCACAGGAGGTGGGGGGGGGGGGGGSGGCTTCAGAAGTGGGTTAGGTATGGAAGCTGGTACGTCACATGGCTCCTGTATTGAGACACAGGACGGTCGAGCACATTTGGATAGTTGAGTAATACAGGTTATTTAAGCTAAGTCAAGTGTTGCTTTTTTTGCTCATACAGAAATTTCCCGGCGCATGGTACGCAAAGTGAATGAACCGTAAAGTTTGTAGAAGGCTGCATAACTACTAAGAGACAATATTCCTAATTCAGCATGGTACGGCAGTCCCTTTTAGCTTGGTTACATACAGTTGACGTAATGGGGTAGGTTAGGGTAATCTTTTGTTGAAGAAGTGCTAAGATCCTAGATAGACTAGCCTTTGCTATGCAGCCTGTGTGCTACAGGCCCTTCGGGATGATAGCAGTAGTTCATATACAAAGTAAAACTAAGAAGGTGGAAGGAACCCCTTGCTTCCACAGTCAGAAAGAGTAAGGAGACCTGAGCTTTGTAGTAAGGGCCAGATCCCACTGGCAAAGAGGATTGGAATAAACTGGCCGAATCTGGACGTGTTCCGCACAGAGATGCAGAAAAGCAGAACAGCAACAATGTTTTGCACATCTCCACAAACACCTCCAGATTCAGACTTTTTCCCCATCCCCTTTGCCAGTGGGATCTGGTCCTAAGAGATTGTGGTTGGTTTCAGACTTTCGGCTGTAAGCCAAACTGGGTAAGGCTCCCAGGATAACTCCCGGTAGAGTTGTGAGGTCCCTGCCCTCATTCATATTGATTTGAAATAGAATTATCCAATTTGCGGGGGAACAAAAAGGAAAGAAAGAAAGAAAGCTGGAGATGAAGGCATATGAGACAAAATCAGCAATGTGTGCTTCTCATAGGAAGGCTTCTTCTTCTACAGGGCTGCATTGCACTACAGGATTCATCGGTCTGCTCTGTTGTGCACTCAGTCTGCGATTATCATGACCGACACCAAACAAAGTTCACTGAAACACACAGAAAACAACGCACAGAAACTTGAATCACGAGGTTTTCATTTTTTTGTGAAAATTGCATCTGTAACCGAGAATTCCCTTTATGACCAGTCCCAGGGCCAAAATGCATCTTTTCTTTCTTTATTTGGTTCTCCGTACAATATATTCTTCTGTCAAATTGTTTCATCGTTCACTAATAATACGCTAACCCTGTAATACCCCACTTTTCCCATGTCCTTATTTATACCTGTACCTGTCCCGACGCACCCAATAATGCACAACCCCACTGGCAGAAACCGGGCAGGAAAAACTGGCTATCCACATAATTTGTCCGAGTACATCGATTATTTGAGCACTCCAGTGTTTGTGTATAAACCTGGGCCCACCTCGGACCCGGGTATGGACGGAAGCTGGGATCTGGAACTGGGCATAAACTGCCATAGAGGGAAAACCCATCTCTGCACAGGGAGCAGATGCTCACCTTGCGGAAATTCAGTTCAGCTCAGTTGGTACACCCATGAATTCGACCGAAAAAGAAGGAACAAAAAAACACAACGGGCGGGCAGGTATACCAGTCCGCCCCTGTATGGCCACAAATATACGTGGAAAGTTGGTACCGTCTTTGCTGACACATACCCAGACCCCCTCCGCCTGGCCTCAGGCAAGCACTCAAGGGCAAGCGAGTCCTCTGTTGCAAAAGGAGGTACCTCCGGTGTATTTGCCGCGAAAGAAAGAACCGCCCAGTAAATCCGCTTCGAAATCTTTGAAAAACGTTTTGAAACTTTGCCGGCACAGCACACAGTAAAATCAGGTGTGAGACAGGCCATCAGAGCGGACTGGAGAAGGAAAGTGAAGATGGGGAAGAGGAAAGGAAAACAGCTGTTCTGGTTTCTTTGCACTTGGTCTCGGGGTAACCAGTTAGCAGCCGTGCACACGGAACGTGGCCTCGTAATCTCACGTTGGTTACAAGATAGTGGGACTGTGAGGCAGACAGAGGTAGGGAATAGGAGGCCGACCAGATAGCGAGTAGGAATACCAGGACACTCGGTTAATTCACTCGTTTGCACCGAAGTAGGCCAACAGGGGCGGAGGGTGGAAAGTGTCACACTTCGGTCGGAATGACAGTTCCAATCGGTCGAAGTAGGCCGGTGTCAGGCCGGAATAGGCCTGTGCATTAGCTATGTAGGCCTGTGCATTAGTCATGTAGGCTAAGTAGCAGGTAGATGAGG